CATTCCACTGGAAGGGCATGAATGATTGGCTGCTGGCTGGGGTTAAAGCATGACACCCTGATTTGAGGAAACAGGAAGAAATACTTTGTAGACCCCCAGAAGCAAATTCTCAAGGAGGGGGAAAAGCCAGGCTGACTCCAAGGGCTGAAGCCACAGCTGTATTTCGGTCTCACTCTGTCACTGACAGCTCTCACCCACTCTGTCTTGAACGTTTCTGTCTGTACACTGTGTGTAAAAACAGCCCTGTCTTTCCTGCTGAAGCTTGAAAAAAAAAGTACATAGGGAAAATGTGTCTTATAAATATGATGTATTCTCAGTTGGGTGGGAGTGGGGAAACCGGGTATTGCTTTATGTGTGTTCTGGGCACATAGAGTGATGCTTTTTTCAACTGTGTCTGAGCCCCACCAAGTGATGTGATAGGGCTGCTCCTAAGATGTGGGCTTCTGCCCCCTCTTCTGGTAACTCTCTGCTCCAGATGGGGCTCAGGGTTAGCTGTGGGAAGAGGGTGGTTCTGGTGCTGAGCCAAATTCTCACCTAATTCAAATGGGGTTTTTTGCGCACCTCATTTCTCATCAGTACACACTCTCTGCTTATGCTCTTTCTGTGTTTTCTGGTGTTCAACCAGGTTCCAACCAATAGGGCCCAACCAACAACATACAAGAGCCATGGGTGTGGATGGTATTTCAGCCACAGGAGATGATTATTCAACAAGCAGGTCCTCCTGAAAGCCCAGGCTCTGACAAAATGTTCCTACAGCAAAACTGGCACTGACAGATAAGTCTTCAGTTCTGCATGCTGGGTACTGACTGAGGTTCAGAGCCAAAAGACTTTGGAGCACCAGCAGAAGGCTCCAAAATTGCAATCCCGAAAATTTTAGCTCACATGCTGCTCTGCCAGAAGGCTCCATAGCCCTTTAGTTTCTGATTAAAAGTTCTCACATCCTCTGTATTTGTGGCTCCATCTATCGCTCAGGCAGCCACTTTCCCCACAAGGATGAGTGTTTAGTCCAAGCTGGGCAAAGCTGAGTCTTCCTCCACCTCAGGGCCCTGGGTGATGGGTATAGGGCACCCTCCTCACATCTAAATATTCACTATAAGGACTGTTGTCCTCTCAAAGCACAGCTATCCTCTCTTTCAATTCAGACAGAGAAAAAGTGGCTGTGCCTTCTCTTTGGTAAACCAGATTTAGCACAGGGTAAGTGCCCCAGCATGCTTCGGGAAACAGGAGTGTTAATGGGATGTCCATAATGTCATAACATATTATAACAGAGCTTCTGAACTTGAATTTCAGGCCTTTGGCAGGGCGGAGACACAGTCGTTTCTCTGCATACCCACAACAAACTGGCAGGTTGTGTAGGGGTGTTTTTCTGGGGTACTTAAAAGCTGGGCTCTCCCTTTCCGGGCCCATGTGCTCACCATCTGGATAGAGCAAAAAGGAGGTGGAGGTGGAAACAGGACTATTTCCCCCTTCTCCTCTGCTGTGTATCCTTGAAAAGAAAGAGCAAGGTCTGCTCAATTCTTTGAAAGGTCAGAGGTGCCCATTTTAGGGAATGAGGTATTGATCCCAAATGGATTTGCATCACCAGATTCAGCCCACTCCCTGGTGTTTGCTGACTGATGCTTCAATAGAAACTCAAAGTAAAAGTAACTAGGCTTGTAATGTTAATTGGCTATGATTCAATCCTAGCAATATACAAAGTACTGATAATTATGTCTGATAGGAATATATAATATAGGTTTTGTTTTTATTTTAATTGTTTGAGAAGAACAGGGAAAGAAAAATGAGGAGTTAAGCCAGTAGAGAAATAAATCAGGATTTCAAATGCAGTCAAAAAGATACTGAGAGAAGAGGAATGGGAAGAGTTTCAGAGCAAACAGGTAGAGCAGAGCCCCAAAACTCAGCAACAGTATTTGGATGTTCCTAGGGAAGTGTTCCCTATGGCTGACAATTTATTTGGGGTGTTTCTATGAGGGTACCAAGTCTGGTTTATGCATTCAGGTTTATGGAAGCTCGAGGATGCTGTCTGGGGAACCTGAGGAGCTGAGGCCATGCCCAGCTCAGCACACTGCCTGGCTGAGGTCTCAGTCTAACATGGATGAGCCTCCTGGGGCTGGGCAGAAGAGGGGCTCGCAGCTCTACTGCTCCACTGCAAAGGTGCCTGTGAACTTATTCTAGCAGGGTTGACCCACAGAAGATGCACTCTCTTCCTGTCTGACTGCTTTACAGGTGAGAAAGGAAAGCTGGAAGGTGCTAGGAAATAGCTTGTTTCTTTTCCACTTCTGACACAAGAGTTTCAGAATACATTACATGTTTTTCAGTCTGACAGCAAATTCCTTGTGCTGCTCTCTTTTCCAGAGTGCCTTTAGTAGGCTACTTCTAGAGGACCTGAGTTTGTATCCCTTGCTGTGCTGCTGACAGGATGATAAAAGGGGCAAGGCAAGAGCAGAGGTGCTCCGCAATCCTGGCTGAGCTCCGATGGTGTGGGGATGAAGAAGGCTTTCTTAGGTTGTGCAGGCTGCGGGGCTGGAAGCCAGACCGTGATCCTTCTGCCCTCCATGACTTAGATCCTGCATCGCTTCGCAGCTGTGGATTTGAGGGGCATGAGGGGAGGGTGGCAGCATCTCTCCAAATGAAGGCACTTGGGTTAAAGCTCCGCTGCTGCCGCAGCTGTGGGATCATGCCTTACGTGAAGAACCTTGGTAGGAAACCCCTCCAGGAGCACTGGCGGGGAGGCAGGCAGGGCCGGCCGCTCGCAGGCCGGGGATGAGCGGGTGCCCAGCGCGGGAGGGCCGAGCCCCGGCAGCTCCACGGGGCACCCGCTGTGAGAAACGTTTGTCGCGCCAGTGAACAGGCCCACTCAGATCCTTCAACGAAGCACAGTTTATTTACGTTCTTGCAAGAATGGGTGACCTAAACAAGCAGGCACACCCATAGTCAGGTGAATAACGGTTTATATTCCCTATTCCCGACAAAAATTTCCCTCCCGTTTCCCCACTGGCTGGGTAGCCCAGGGTTCACAGCCCATCCGACGCCTCAAATTATCCTATAAGTTTCCCGCCCCTGTTTACACATTCCACTCTAGCAGTTTACTTTTTACCTTTTAAGGTAAAATTTTGACCTTTCTTGCCCCCTGGGCTGTCTTCCCAATCAACAAATCCACTGGTGTCATCCTGCCCTGAGAGCAAGATAGAAGTGGCTTTGTTGGGTCTTATCTTGGGCCATAAATCCTTCTCCATGTTTGGATCCCCAGGTGGAGCCCAAATCACTCCCTCAGTTTCCTGGGCCATAAACCACTCCTGGTGTCCTTAGAATGTGCAGATATCTCACTTATGTCAAGCAAACTATATATTTCTAACACTAGGATATAAACCAAACCTGACACTATGTTTCTA